TTTATTTTGCAATTTTCTTTAAACTATTGAGATAGGTACATAAAATATCACTTTAAGCATTTCCATAGCCATGTTCAAGTCCAGAGTTTAAATCTCCCATATGTACTTATGAGGGAATACTGTGAACTGCATACTGAGAAAATAATATGCTCTGCTTCTGAGGTCCTCCCTTAGCTACTTTGCTACACACACAGGGTCACAGACATCTGTGTTAAAGTGATGAATTGTCACAAGACACCACCAAACCATGCTCAGCTATTAACTATATGGACTTACTATTTCTGTTGTTGGAAATTTGTGCTATAGGATGTGTGCACTCGATGTAGAAACAGAAAGTGAGAAATCTCCCTCCCACCCCCAGAAATGGCAACACAGCAATCCCTTCTCCATTCACCTCTTGGGACTTTGGGCACACATGCACATGACCCAGCATGAGTTTTAAACTGCCAGGTCTGGAACTCGAACCACAGTTAGCTATGTGGCAATCCAACATCTTAACCACTACACCACCTGCTGGTCCCTATATGAACTTACTCATTTTTAAAAATAATTATTTAATTTTATTTATTCATTCATTTATTTAATTTGACCAGAAAGAGACATGGGGATGGGGGTGGGGGTGGGGGGGGAGAGAAAGCAAGTCACCAGGTCCAGGACTCGAACCCTGGTCGACCATGTGGGAGTGTGCAGCACGTTAACCACCACACCAACTGCTGGTCCCCTGGATTTAATTGGCAAAACAGAATATATGTGCTCTCTAGTTGCTTAACAGAGAATAGAACCTAAAATTTTCTAGACTTAAATGTTCATCAAAAGCTGAGCTACCAGAAATAACATTCTACAAGAACTGCCTGAAAGAACAGACCTATTCATTCTACCACCATCTCGATTAAGCCAGAATGTCAGAGAAAAAATCCTGGAAGGAAACATTTTTGTAAATTACAGCAATGCTTTATATACTGTCTTTTTCACAGGGAAAATAATCTATCTTTATTTCTTTTGAGGATCTAAGGGTAAAAAATCATTCTTCTGTATTATTTATTTTAGTTATCAAAAATAGTTGTGCATAGGAGCTCTTTTGCTTACACTATTATATTCTGCCATTATTGGAGGTTTTCTTCTTCGTACTAGCTACTTGGAAGCTCTCAAATATATAATACAATATATTATAATATATTTGGCTACTAACTAAAATCCCTATGTCCTAGATAACTGGCCCCTCCAAAACAACTCTTCATTTCTACCATGCTCTATGCACCAAGTGTGTGTAACAAGATACCCTGCTATCCCAGTTGGGCTCAATTCAGCA